ACCCTGGTGCACACCCCTAACCCTAATATAGGATGAAAGTTCCATTGAAAAGAGGGCGATTTTGAAAAAAGCCTTCCTTGAGTAGCTTTTTCTGCACAGCTCATCATTTCTGCCCATTCTAAACACATTCCAACCATCAAAATCATACCAGGAGACCTCATTTTCCTAACCCTAACCCTACCCTGGTGCACATGTGAAAGCTCAGACAAGTTGCGGCTAATGAGTCATGGCTATTGACGTCATCGCCTGGCACCGCTATTCCTTTCTGAGTATGCGCATGGCCCCTATGTGCGCTGTTATCGAATGCTTGGCTGCTGGGGTGATGCTGAGGCGACTTGGCCCACGGGCCAACTGGGAGGGTTCTGCATGCCCGCTGTGGCACGCATGCCATAGGTTCGCCACCACTGGTATAGCGGAAAATACTAAAACAGGAAGAAATCTACGTGCTCTTGAAAGGGTATAATCACCGAAAAAATGAATTTATATCATAAGTAAATTGTTCAGTTGTTTTCTCCACCATATTTTAAAATGTTGTTAATCATAATCTAGACTTCAGTTTTTTTACATGTTTGGTCAAGCTTTATTCATTTTAATGGGATTAAATCCGACAGGCCCCTGATAACTTAGTTCTATAGGGTTTTTTAGAACAAAAGGGAAGTTGGAAGGACTCGAAACACCACAGGACAACTGAGTGTGCAAGTTGCACCAAGGTGTACATGTGGTGTGAAGAATCTCATACATTCTATTCATATTGCATACAAGTGCTGGGTTCCACAGCAACCTTATTAGCTTGGCAGGATTAAGGATGGCTTTATCTGAACAAAGGCAGAACAGCCGGGTAGAAGAAAGACTCACCCAGGAGTGTTTGCCTTTTCATCAAAACGGGTTTTTTCCTTGCCTCTGCAAATGCACCCCAGTTTCCAGTAAACATTTTCTAGAAAGTTTCTAACAAGACACCAAGCAAGCTTTGAACTCCTTAAGATTGGAAGAAAACATTTATTCACTGAAGATGTAATCTTGTGTTTGTGCAAGAGTTGGCTTGTTGCCTGGCCCAGCACCGCCCACCCTTCAGCCAATTGCATGCTAGCTAGACATATTCATACACACGCTTGAATGTGTTGTGCAGAGAAGTACTTTTCCTGTGGATGACTGTTAAAGAGGTTTTCTGGTGAAAAGAATGATGACCACCCTGTGTACAGGTAAAAAAAATACCTACCCTAGTCAATGAGGGGAAAAAATCATCTGCGGCAGGGTGTGGAGCCACAGTCAAGCCATGCCTTTATTCAGGCTGACTGGAATGCCATGAAAGGTTGTGGAAGCTCCTGAGTTCTCCAGAACTCTTTCTTCATCAGACTAAGTTATACAAAAAACAAGGAAGAAACAGAACATCAAAATGAAAATTAAGTCGGACTTGTGGTTGCAAGTCCTGCTGGAGGTGTAAACGGGACATTGTAGAGTAAGGGTGTAATCCTATCCTGGACCTTTAAACTCCCAAATTCAGAGGCTTACTAGCATCCAGTGTGGGTCAGCAAAAGCAACAGGGGCAATCTGGGCCTCTTTCTTGTCCTGCCCTGCATTTTCCCCATCAAGAAAAAGCATTTTGGAGGGGCAGGGAAGGAGGCTGGAACAGATTCAGAATGCCCTGTGTGCTGGCTGCTCCAGTCACACCCCTGCCAAATGCTCCTTTTAACTTCTCTCCAAGGTTGCTTTCCTGAAGGCTCAGTTAGAACATAAACCGAGAATGGGTCTCCCAGGCCATCTAGTCTGACCCCTGGCTCCAACCGGCTCCGCTCTTGACATGCCTACCATGTGCATGTCCAGTCTCTCCTTGAACACCCTCACCAATGGGGCTTCAACCACCTCCTGTAGAAGCCCATTCCCTACCCTATGGATCCTAACTGTCAGGAAATACTTCCTGGCATCCACCTTGACTCTTTGTTCCCTGAATTCTGCTCCATTGGAACAAGTCCTGCCCTCCACTGCAGGAGAAAAACAGTTATTTCCATTCTGGGCATAAAGATTCAGTGAAGGTAGGTCAAAGCACCAACTCCTGGCTCTGAGGTCAGACCTTCAAGATGGGAATCTGGACTATCTTCTGGTCCCCGAGATGATGTCTAGGAGCCATGCAATCATTTCCTGAATGAATTAAAATCTCCCTGTAGGCTATTCATGTGATTTCTACCCTGCCTTTCCACCAGCATCCATCTAGCAGTTAGGGCAGGGGTCCTCAAACTTTTTGCACAGGGGGTCAGTTGAAAGGTGCCAGTGATGGGTGTGGGCTGCCAAGGCGGTGCGGGCAGACGGTGCGGGCTGGGCTGGGGGGGGTGCGCATGTGGTGAGGCAAGGGTGGGCGCATGCACAGGTCATTTTCTCTGAGTGAGTCCAACACAATCTCCTTGCGAGTGAGCCGCCCCTGGGCAAGCGCACTGCGAGGCGGAGGCTTATTCTCGAGGAGATCTTTTTCTCCAAGCGAGTCCAAAACGATCTCCGCACGAACAAGCCGCTGCCTCGCCACATGGCAGGCCAGATAAATGGGCATGGCGGGCCCTATCTGGCCCACGGGCCGTAGTTTGAGGACCCATGAGTTAGAGCTTTGCCTATTAGGAAGGATCCCAGATTACACACACTGAGAAGGAAAAGTGATGGAGGTACCTTTTGACTTTTAATCTAACACTGGGGCTTCAACTAATTCTGATCACCCTTCCTGGGTCTACACAGTGATTGGGGAAGTATTCTTAAAAACTGAAGATATCTCCTGGCCCAGTAGCTTGGCAAATTTATGCTCCCTACTGGAAACAGCATGTGCTAAAATGGGCGATCCATTAATTTGGGAACATTACGGTAAGGGGCGGCTCAAAGCCGTACATGTGTCAACACAAAAATCAGGATGGGTTGTGACAAGAAGTTGCTAATGCTGATAGAATTGCCACATGCAAAGAAGTACAGAGCTCATGCATCTTTCACCAAAGTTCAAATTTCGGCAGGTGCAGTTTTGTTTCTGGGGGTAAAAGAGGTGCACCTGTCAGAATCTTGAAAACTACTGAGGGCCTGTCCTCTGTTTAGCTGGATACCAGGCACGGTTACCTATCCCAAATGAAGTTTCTGTGACCCAGTAGGGTGTAATAGTATAGTCTGGGACTGGGACTCAGAAGATCTGGATTTTCATCCGAACTCAGGCCATGAAGCAGGCTAGGTGACTTTGGCTAGTCACTGACCCTGGTGCTGCATTTTTCTTTGGAAGTTACAAGGCTGGGGAGGATGGGTCTTCTTCCCTGCTTCTCCCTTAGCCCTGGTCTTTTCCCACCCACAGTGGCAAGTGGTGCATGAATTCCGCCACCTAACAGGTGGGGAAAGACAACAGGCAAGGTGATCAATGGAGGAACATTACTTATTTTTTAAAGTATTGTTATCCTGGTCGTCAACCAACTTCAAGGCTGCCCTTGAAGATGGTCTGGATACTTCAGTTGGTTCAGAATAGAGCTGCCAGGATGTTAATGGGGACCGGCAGATATTCACATATAACGCCACTCCTCTACTGTTTACATTGGCTGCCAGTTGAAGTCCAGGCCCAATTTAAGCTGCTGGTGATGACCTAAACAGCTTGGGTCCTGGATACCTGAAGGAGCACCTCCTACCCTATCTGCCTTCCCACTCCGTAAGATCTGGGGCAGAGTCCTTCTCTGGGAACCCTCCTTGAAGGAGATTAGGAGGGTGCTTACCCAGAGAAGGGCCTTCTCTGTGGTGGCACCCCAATTGTGGAATACACTCCCCAGAGAGGTTTGCCTGGCCCCAACACTTTATTCCTTTCATTGCCAGGTGAAACCCTTTTATTTTCCCATTATTTTAATGTTTAACTGGTTATAAGGAGGGTTTTATTTACTGGATGTTGAATGCTGTGCTATATTTTATTTTGTGTTGCTTTTATTGTAAAACCGTCCCAAGATGCTTGTAGTGAACGGTATATAAAACCTTTAAATAAATAAACCAGAAAGTCTCCTGAACTGGCTTCTGTCTGGGGGTGGGTGGGGAGGGAGGGAGAGGTTTTTCAGTAGGGCTGGTGGGAAGACTTTGCTACCTCTCTCATCCCAGAAACTGTCTAGGAACTGATGAAGGGAAATGTACAGTCCCTGATGGCAAGAAGAGTTCTGTATGGTGACAGGAGGAAGATGTTTCAGAAATAAACATTTTCTTTGGCCTTGAGGATTTTGTAAAGCCAATTCTAATCAGGGGGCATAGCCTGTGCGGTGGGAATTCCTGCCTCACTAGATAGACTGCCAGATCAGCAGTAGTCTTCTGGAAGTTTATTTTCCTTCCCCAAATAAGCAGTTTCCTAGGAGAATTTTGTTTCTTCTGAATTATAAAGCAATTGTGTCAAGGTTTATCCCTGTTTCACATGAAAACACAAAGTTCTTTAGCTCTTGCTGACATTGGTGATTATTGTTTGGGTTACCGGTATTGGTTAAGACTTGCCCCAGAGCTCTGTAACATTCAGAAGTGGGTTGGGGTCATGCCAGTTCACTGTTGCAATCCAGCCTGTTCTCGCCAAGGACTGCCACATTCCTAGCCCTTATCTGTGTTGCGTTACTGCCCTTAGAACTGGTTTCTCTCAAGTGTAGTACACTGTGGCTGTTACATTTCAAAGCATCTTTGTTAGAAGTGTTTATTATTAAAATGCACTGGCCTAATGCTAATAGTTCACTCTAAAGCTAAAAATGTGTCCCTGGGAATTTAATACTAGAGTGGGGGCTTTGCTGACCTGGTTTATCAAGCATGGCTTGGGTCTGGTCTGGACCTTAGAACTGGATGTTGTGCTTTTCTCCAACCATTGCTGGGAAACTCAGGCATGATCTGCTGTGGCACCCCATTCCTGCACATGGTCTCTCCCACGGGCATCTAGTTGGCCACGGTGCAAACCAAATGCTGGACTTGATAGGCCTTTGGCCTGAACCAGCATGGCTCTTGGGTTCTCAACCATTTCCCCCATTTTCCCCTCCTCTTAGGTCTGCCAGTTTGTGGTTTCCGTGAACGGGCTCAATGTTCTCCATGCAGACTACAGGACCGTGAGCAACCTCATCCTGACAGGCCCTCGAACCATCGTCATGGAAGTGATGGAGGAAACAGAGCTCTGAGAAGGCCCTTGCTAGCTCTTCCTGCTGTGTTCACAGCCATTGCTCAGCTAAGAGCCAAGTGATGAAAGGGAGATAGCCTCGCCAATGAAGATGATTTTGCCTTCTAAGTACTTTCCTTTCCCCCTTTAACAATCATAGATACTTCAATGGATATGTGGTAGGACCAGTTCTGCACTGAGGTGAACCCAAGGTACAGATGCTGCAAGCTGGCTTGCCCTACAATATGGGTCCATGGCTTATCAGGAGCACAGCAGACTCGGGTGCGTGATCCCAACACCACCTGTTGCCATCATGTCAGGAATCGTGCCTGTGCAGGGATCTCCCAACGCTGCATTCATCGGTCCTTTCTTAATTCATCATTTTTATGTTGTGACGGTGCAGACTTAACATCACGTCCAGACAGCTTTCATGTGGACACCTGACGGTGCCATGCTGCAAACACATGGTTTCTTAAAAACAGGGCTGCTTATGCTAATCAACCTTTGAATCAAGAAGAGTTCGATCCTGCAACCTCTGCAAATTATGCAAATTAAAGGCGTACATCTCATGCCACTAGCAATAGAGATGGATAAGAAGCACTGCTGAGTTCAGAAGTCCTGCTGCAACCATGATGGGAATCCCACCAGGGGCAAGACATAAAAAATATCGGTTCCCCCTGCCACACCACCCTTCCACAACTCTTTGCCCTGATAGAAAACAGTCGACTGTTTGTTTTTCCCAGTCATACAAGCAGCATCGGGGTCAGGAGAACATCACAAGGAATATGCCCTTTAAAAATCTTCCTCTTCTCCAGCCCACTTCTCTAGTTCCAGTCTCATTCAGAGCTCCCAACTGCTGCTGCTACTTTTTTAGAAAAAGAAAATATCAGCACTCTGATTGCAGATCATGCACATTTGTCCAGCTGGTTCTTGAGATACCTTGCACTTACTGAACGAAACCATGGAAGAATGGACTACCAAGAGGCTTTCTTTATAAGCTTGCTTTGGATTTGGGCTAAGCTACGATGATATTCCTAGATAACCAGCAGCCACATTAGATGATGTTCCAAATCCAAATGTTAGTTCCCTATAACTCTCCCAAAGCAATCACCAAAACATTTGCGTTCAAGGAGAGTTCAGCTTCAATCCTATACACACTTACACAGGAGTTTACCCCGGTGGACTCATTAGGGCTTACCTCTGAGTAACTGTTATAGGATTGCACTGCACAACTAAGTAAAATGATAGGTTTAATCTTGGTATAGTCTAGTGCAGAGGTAGGATGCCACGTATAGTCTGAAATATATGAAAGACAACATCTCTGAGCCTTATCAAGTAGCCAGGGCTAGTAGCCAGGGACTATGGGAATTGTTGTTCAAAACATCTGGAAGGCATGTAGCTCCATGTAGAGCACATTACAGTCCAAAGGTGAGTTTAGGAGGGCATGGATTACCATTGCTGGATTCAGGCCATGCAGACAGGGACACAACTGGCATATCATCCAGAGTTCAAAGAAGGTGCTCCTGACCACAGATGCCACCTGGGACTCCAGGAACGGCTCTGGGCCCAGGAGCACCCACAAAGTCTGTACTCTGTCCTTTAGGGGAAGTGCAACCCCATCCAGGACAGAATGGATATGATCCACCTGGACAGAGGTCTCACCTTCCAAGAGCAGGCAGGTAGTAGATCAAATTTCAATTTACTAACCCTCATCCAGTCCATCTTCCCACTCAGACAAGGGTTCAGAGCAGTCAGTGCTATGCCTGGATTAGATGTAAATGAGGTAGAGCTGAGTGTCATCAGCGTACCGGTGATACTCCAGCCCAAGCCTCTGGAGTACCTCATGTAGATGTTGGACAGCCTGGGGGACAGGATGGGACCCTGCAGTACTCCACTGCGTGACTGCCATGGAGCTGAGATACCGTCCCCCAGCATTGCTTTCTGGCATCTGCCAGTCAGGTAGGAGCAGAACAGCTGCAAAGCAGTGCCTCCAACTCCCAACTCGGCCAGCCTATCCAAAAGCAATGGCCAATGGTATTGAAAGCCACTGAGAGGTCTCAGGAGAACCAACAGGGACACACTCTCCCTGTCTTTCTCCTGCCAGAGGGCATCCCACGGGATCTGGAACCAGATAGTCCATTTTCTCCAAGAGCTCCTCCAGCCACCAGCCACTCGAGCATGTTGTTCAGAAAGGGAATGTTGGCCACAGGCCTACAGTTGTTGATGTCCTCTGGGTCCAGACTTGCCTTCTTCAGGAAAGTTCTGATCTTTGCCTCCTTTAAAGGAGCAGGGACCATCCTGCCCCACAGAGAGGCATTCACAATTGCCTGGACCCAGGTATGCATTCCTTCGTTGGCTTGGATGAGCAGCCATGATGAGCAAAGGTTGAGTATACAGGTGGGAGGCTGAACTTGTCCAAGAAACTTGTCCACATCATCAGGCCACAATAATTGAAACTTATCCAATAAAATTAAACCAGATGGTGCTCTGGACGCTTCTGTGGAAGGGACTACATTAAATGTAAGGTCCAACTTCTGATGAATCTAAGTGACTTTATCCTCAAAGTGCTGTGCAAACTCATGGGCTACTATGGGCTCTGCTGGACAGCCCCAGTGCCGGTGGAGAAGAATGCTCTCCACCACCTTCACTGCCATGGAACAGACCCAATAATAAGCTCTCGCCTGTGTCCTGTCAGAGTCAGCTTGAGTTTTTCTCCACCTGTGCTCTAGCCATTTTCTTGATGGCTTCATAGCCACTTTCAGCTCGACTCCTTCTCTTTCTCTTCCAGCAAGTGGTGGGGGGTGAACAGAAGGAGCAGCACGTGACGTGGCCTATTTCCCTGCCCGATCTGCCTCCCAAGGACACAGAATGTTATCAGTGAGGAGAAAGAGTGATTGCAGCTGGTGACAATGGTGGTGAGAGGGAGGGAGAGGTCCATGGAGGATGCCTTGCCCAGGGGCTCTCAAAAGCCAATGTGCGCTGTTTGGCGCTCTTAGATGAAGCATGAGGTTGAAGCATCATGCATGAGTATCTTCTATAGCCTTTGCAAACCTGATGCCTTCCAGATGCATTGAACTAGAATTCGCAACATCCCAAGCATCCCCCATTCATCACAACCCCAAAATAGGCCTAGTGTCAAGGGTAGGTATCGTTGGGCACTTGCCAAGACCTCACACCCCAGCAGCTCTCCATTGACATAGGCTCCCTGGAGTTGTTTCGTCTCTTCACCTTTCCAGTGTGTCTGTTCACCTGCATTTTCCTCTGGTCCAGACCATGGTGGTGGTGAGGAGGAGGAGGAGGAGGGGCAGATGCTACAGCCCCCTTGCTCACTGGCCCTTTGCCTGTCAAGCAAGCAAGCAAGTGGTGGCCATGCTAAGAAAGAAGAAGAGGGGCACAGGCAGCTCCTGACAATGATACTGAGAAGGTGGGCTCAAGCAAGCGGTGGAGTGTACTGAGGGTGTCTTGAAAGCCTCTGCAAAACCTAGTGCTACTCTGAGAATAAAATGGCAGTGCCATCCCAAGCTCTGGAGGATCATTCCTTGAATGACTTTTGGTTTGCAGTTTGGTCTTTTACAGGCAAGCCCAAGTTTTCTTAGTGAAACCAGTGAATACGCTTTGGAAAAATACGGCTTTAATACCATAAAATTAAATAGCCGCCTGACATTCAAGAGAGCCTTTTGTATGGTTTGAATGAGGTGAATGGATCTGCTGAAGCATCGTTTAGCTGCATTTTCAAAACACTAGAACTAGCGGGAACTGCAGACATGAAATCTGCTTCTGACAATGTAGGATACACATTTGCTTTTAAGGGAACAGAACTTTAACTTCCTGTAGCATTTCTTCAGACTGGAGTCTACTTTATATCTGGCCCAACAAAATAAAAGCCATGCATCAGGTCCCCACCCCAACCCCCAGAGAGTTGGTTTGTAAAGGGGGCTATTTCATGTGAAGTTACACTTCTCTGATTGCTACTGCTTTGGTAAATGCATTTTGCAAATTTTTGCATCCGTTCCAAGGCAAGGCTTGCAAAGCCGGTTTGACCAGTGGCCATTGTGGGGCTGGAAGAACATGTCCTTGCCATTGGGACTGAAGCGTCTCTCAGATCATTCTAGATAACTTCGGCTGCAGCCCTACCCATGTTCAGATCAAAAAACGGCCTGCCAGCTTGTAGCCAATCCTACTTACTGGGGAATACAAGGAGCAATAAGGCTGCTTTTAAGGCACAATTTAGACAGGGAAAAAACCTTATAACTCCCAGCATGTCCCAGCCAGCCATGAAGTTCCAAGACGTATATATGACGAAACATGCATAGGATCGCACCTTTAGGAACTACACACAATTTCATAGGCCATAACGCTGCTAGATTTGAGTGTCAATGCCCCAGTTTTTAAATTCAGTTTCTGACAGATTGGGGAAAGGGAAAATTTGGCAACTGGCAGAACAATCTTAATAGTGAAATTTGAAAAAATAACCCCATGTACTTGACTGTTTGGAATGTGACTTTAGTTAAATGTATGGCTGTTTGAAAACTGCATGTTTGAAAAGAAGGCTTTGATGGATTTTGAAAATGGAGGGATATTTAGAGTAGCATTATTACTTTTCATCCCATGAGGACAGATGTGCCATAATTTTTTAATGTATACATATTTATACATTTTCCACAAGATTGTATAAGCTATTCATAGCAGAGGTATTCTGGTACTGTTCAATTTTTAGATGTTATTCAAATTTTAAAAATAAACATTTTTTAACACAAGCTTTTTGTGGACAGACATGAAAGAGATACAATATTCTTCTGTTCCACCCTCACTCACAAGCATGCGTAACAAATTATGCATTCCAAAAAATCGATACAATGCCACATTCTTAAAAGGCCCTAATTGTCAAGTAATGTTTAATAAATCCCATACTTTGCAATAAATAAAATGCAAAGGGAAAAGTTGCCTTGACTCTACCTGAGCGAAAATCTTACGCCTCTGGATATTATGTTCCCCACCATTTGTTGCTTCTTGTGTGCCTTTGGGCGCATCATGAGAAGACAAGACTCTCTGGAGAAGGCACTCTTGCTGGGGAAAGTCAAATGAGGAAGACCAAATGTGGGATATGACTTGATAACACAAAAACAACTACGCTCCAGATGCCCAGGACTACAACTCTTAGCATCTCTGACTACTGGCCATAGTGTCTGGGACACCCAAATTCAGGGCATCCAAACTGGGGAAGTGGTGTGTTTGTGTGTGTATACTCACAAACACCATTGTGCCCACTAGCAAATGGTTTGACAATTCTCCATTTATTCATCTCACTTGCTCTGAAATTCTGTGTATCTGGATTGCAGTGCAAATCTCCATTTCTATCCTGGGTTGGACCCACTTTTAATCAGAGCAGACCCACTGAAATCAAAAGGACTTGAGATCGTTCTGACTAACTTCAGTTCTATTCCAATAACTGTTGTTTTAAAACTGTTACTATGTTTTAAATAAATTGCTGCCAGATTTTCTTTTGGTTTTATTTTATACTATAGCTTTAAATGTTTATATAACCCTCCCAGGGATCCTCATCTGCGGGGTGGTATAGAAATGAAATGAAATGAAATAATATAATTCTACTCATATTGTATTTTATGGTTTTAATTGTTGTGAACCACCAAGACAGCAATCAGGTATGGGGTGGTATAGGTAAATATTAAGTTAGGATGCAATCCTATGCTTCGTTGTTGTTGTTTGTCGCAAAGTCATGTCCGAGCCATCGCGACCCCATGGACAATACTCCTCCAGGCCTTCCTGTCCTCCACCGTCCCCCGGAGTCCACCCAAGCTCACGCCGACTGCGTCAGTGACTGCATCTGGACACCTCATCCTCTGCCGTCCCCTCCTTCTTTTGCCATCTATGCATATTTAGACAGAAAGAAATCCAATGTTCCCTACCCAGTTGAGGTTTATGGAACTTTCCTCAGTCAAAATATGCATTTGATTGTGCCTTTAATAAATATGTTAACCATTATTTTTTATTTTCCCCCATTTAGCTTTAAAATGCAGAGTAAAAATAAAGACATAAATACAAACATCTGAAATACAAATATGTACCATCCAAGACATCAATAATATAACACATTTACTCTGGTTTCTCTTCAGATCATATGAATCTTTCCCCTTTAATATGTTAACCATTATTAACTTTGAACCCCATTGATTTTGTGGATCTGCTTTCAATCAAGGGCTTTTTCAGACGAGGCATTTACCATTCACAAAATGATGCTTTTACCATTCACTGTTCTTTGCAGGTCCTTTAGACTATGGCATGACCCCCAGTTTCACTTCTGTCTAATCAGCACTTTTGGCAAGGTGGGTTTTATGTTTGCTTTTTAAAGCAAGGAAAATGTGGTTAGAGAGCTGCCTGCAACATTGGAGCTAGGAATCTAAGCTATCCTATCCACCCCCCCCCCCCCGAAAAAAAGGCCGTTATCAAGAAGCCAGAAGGACCATTCCCTTAACAGTGAAAGTGAAAGAAATCTTGTTTTCCTTTTTTGTATTTATGCTTTTCTGCTGTACCACCATGCCACCGACATTACGTCACGGAACAGCAGAAAAGGAAATGCTGCTCTTGCAATGCTGAGATCTCAGTTCTGTGATATAACCAAAGGGAGATGCAGAGGGCTATCAGCCCATCAACAGGCTCAATAGCAAAGCTCTAAAGCTGGATCCAACCCCAACGAAAATCCTCCTGTGAAGACCTCCTTGTATGATTGGAGCAGCTTAATATTCTCCTCTTAAGCATGCACTTTATTTCTTAGGATTATTAATTGCTTAGCATCCTTCCCCCATGCCCTGGATTTTAACTGTAAAATACACACAAGCAGGGCCTGGCTCTCAAGGCACTTGCAAATTCAAATGGGTCCATTTAGGTGCTAGCAAGTCATTATCCATGTTAGAGATTTTCATGTTGAAGGCGCCGGGATTTCCTGGGGCTTGACTGACTTACGGTGCTAAAACCAGCTATAAT